CCAGGTGGGATAGCAATTGGGGGGCTGGGGTGGGGCATGTGGGCCTTGTAGGGCGGGGGTGGTAGCCCCTGTGGGGGCCATTTGGCCCCTGTTGGGGGGCCATACCGCTTGTGTGGGGACCAAATCCCCTGCTGGGGGGCCAAATCCCCTGTTGGGGGGCTGAATTCCTTGTGTGGGGGCCAAGTCCCCTGTTGGGGGGGGCTGAACCCTTTGTGTGGGAGCCTGTGGGAGGGCAGTAAAATATGTATATGGCACCTTGGACCCAGCTGGCTGTGGCTGACCTCCTGCCCAAATGGGGCCAGGAGGACATGCTTTGACAGTTCAAAGCAGGCCACCACACCTGGAACATCTTTTGGGCGATAGCTGCCCAGATGGCTGGGCAGGGGGCACACATGGCAGTAGTGCTGCACAGAGGCCAACCCTGCAACCACAGTCCACTGGCAGCTGGCCCAGAGGGGCAGGTGCCTCTACTAGCTGTGCAGTCCCCATCTGGGTCTGGCAGGGGCACAGACGGGCACAGACAGGCAGCATCCTCCACTGCCAGACTGCTGCAGTGGGTAGAGGGTGCAGGGAACTCTCAGGGCTGCTGCAGCAGTCCAGCCGGCACAAGGCATAGTGTCCTGTGACAGGGAACCCTAACCCTGTCACGAGGAAGCAGGTGCGCTCCTATAAGGCCAGAACCTTCTGGGCACGGAGGGCTGGGGAGGAAGGGGTTAACTGATGAACTGGGATGGCTAGTCAGCTGACCGGAAGAGGCAGGATTATAAAAACCCTGGGTTGAACAGCATTAGTGAAGTCAGCAGCTGAAGGGGAAGCAGTGCCCCTGAGAGTTCCAGGAAGAAGTTTGGGGAGCGGTCCACAATAGGAAGGGGGAAGCTATGGAAGCCCCTGTGAGATGATGACTGCATCCACAACCAGGACTGTAGCCAGCGGTGCGGAGCCGAGCCGAGCCTTGAAGAGAGTTCTTGTAAGCTGACCCGCTGTGTTGACTGAGTATGTGCAGTTACTTTTTGTTGTTGTTGTAATTATTGAACATACCAGAGGTTTGGGTGAGGCTATTAGGGGTTGGAGGAGGCCTCATGTTTGGGGACCCACTCTGGAGTGGGAGCCCCGGTGCCAGTGAGGGTGCAGCTTGTAGGGGGAACAGCCCCGGCACCAGTGAGGCGCAGAGCAAGACAGGGCTGTGGAGAGCCCGAGTGCCAGTAAGGGCGAAGTTTGGGATGACACAAACCCTGGCACTCAAGGGATGATCTTAAAAAGGCCAGGGAGGCCTGGTGCACCAGGGGGGTGCAAGTATATTTTTGGCTTTTGTTTGGACTGGTGGGGTTGCCCCCTGGCTTTGAACTTACAACCCCCTTGCTGTGGGGCCAGTGCCTGTGCCTCTGGGCCAGGGAGTGCCATGTTCCAGAAGGGAGCAAAAAAGAGGGCCATGAGCCTCCAGGCACTGGAAGGAAAAGCTAGAGCCTCAGAGTCTAACGCTGTTTGGTAGGTTTGGATGGGGAGGCCTAGATAGAGAAAAAGGGGTCAGGCCATCCTGGGAGAGACTCCAACATACTCAATATAATAGGCAGTCTCCTGCTTGCATAATAATTTCCATCAAGACGTGGCAGACGAGATTAGGGTGGGACAGAAGAATTCCAAGAGGGCTCCAAGGGCGCCCCACGTAAGGATGACCGGGAAGGTGGTGCTGGGGAGGGCGACCTGTTACATGTCCCCAGGTACCAATTGGCTGGGCTCCAGAAGCTCCTGAGAGCTAGTAGCCCTGAGCTACTTTCCAGGGCTGCCTTTTATACTGCTGGGGACAGCACAGGTGCTGATCCTGGGCTCTAGCTCCCCCTGGCTGAAGATCCAGGAGGAGCCAGGCAGGGTTATTTTGCCCCAAGTGGCACAATTTGCTCCACAACAAAGTGCATGTCCAAGCACGTGCGCTGAAGCAAAAATCCCTGGCTCAAATTTGCACCGCTTTTATTTGAGTTGCTGCAAGCACACATGCTTGGTTGTGTGGACGCGCCCTATATGTCAGCCCTTCCCTAGTCCCCTGGGACTTTGCCTATCCTTTCTCTGTGACTTTGCAAGCATTGTTGCAAACTCCAAGATCTCTTTACCTAGTTCCTCTCAGCACCCTTGGATGAATTTTGTCAGGCCCTGCTAAGTTAAATTCACTCCAATTTATCACAAAGCTCTCCAATATACTCTGTGCCAAGATCTGTAGCCCTTCACTTTGTTTATGTTAATTCTGTTATTGTTTGGTTATAGTTTGGTTTTTTTGTTTTTTTTGTTTTTTTTTTTTTTTTGTGATGACAGATGCAAAAGTAGTCCTCGACCAGCTTCGCTTTTGCATCTCCTGTTAACAGCAACCTTACCATTGAGCAGCAGACCCACAGTTTCCTTGGCCTTTCTTTTGTAACACATTCACTGAGCCCCTTGTCCTCCTTTTCATCTTTAACACCCTTTGCCGGCTGTACCTCATTTGCTTTCATGAGTTTGTTGTACAAGCTCCTGCTGCTCCCTGGAGTCTCACCCTTCTTTCTACTGCCTGTGTGGCCACCTCAGGCTCCTGCAGTTACTCTTCCATTGTGTTGGAATAGCTTGCCATTGAGGTACTGATACCATATCCTTTAGGAACTGCCAGCCCGCCTGGATCCCTTTATCCTTTAACTTGTGTCCCCCTGGGACCTTACCTTTAAGTCAGTTGAAATCTGACCTTTTCAAGCCCAATGTCCTTGTTTTGCTGTTTTCATGCTTTCCTTTTCTTTGTCAAGAATCCTATCATATCAGGATCCCCTCCTCCAAAGTCCAAGGCAGTAGGAATGTCAAATTTAAGCACATTAATAGGCTTTTGAGCTAACCTAAAAGTGTTCCTTTGCTGCCTTCCCTCTTGTAGCTGGTCTATACTCAGCTGCCCAGGCCCTATATGCTGCCGTTTCTTTCCTTGAAGTAACAGGAGCCCCAGGCTCCCTGTTACAGAGGGCAAGAAACTTCTCCCATCCCCCTACTTCTTTTAAATGCAAAAGCTGAAACGGGAACATGTAAACCGTGTGAAAACAGGAGCTGGCGCCCTAGGCATGGGCCCAGAATGCCTATTCCTTACTTGCATCCAAAGTAAAAAAAAAAAACAAAACAAAAAAATTTCTCTCTGGACCAAATGAATACGCTTCTGATGGACACACAGAGGAACTGTGGTGAAGAGAGGAAAAAATAGCCCTGGTGCTGCTCAAGGCAAAGTACACTGTGCAAGACAGTCTGAGCTACTTACTTCATTTCTCTTCCCCAAGCAGATATGTACCAACTATTCCCACCTCAGATGCCAGTTCTCTCCCCTTCTCCGCAAGAGCCATGCAGAGGTTCTGGGGCCTCCCTTCAGATAACAGCTTGCTAAGAGAAAGTCCCCTAACACTCCAGTAATATCAAGAAGCTTCAGTAGTATATGAATGCATCAGACAGCATGATGATGTCTTTTTCCTGGGCATACTAGAAATATTTCAACCATCTGGACAGCTGAGACCACTGTAAATTGAAGGCATGAATATGTACTAAGATATTATCCACTTTTTAGCAATGCTTTGTTTTATTTTTCTAAAAGACTGCTGAAAATCCAACTGCTTACATTAGAAGTAAAGCATTTCATATATTAACATATTGCAATAATGGTGATGCAGTTAAGAAGGAGATGGGCTCTTCAATTCTAAACCTGTTTAGATACTTATAATGCTATTCTCAAAAATTGCCTTTGGGAATTTAGTTGCTTATGCCTGGTTTCAGTTTGGAAGTGAATTTTTTTGCAGAAATTTTCATTAAAACTCAGCAGGATGCTAAATTTTGAATTTAAAGATACTCATTATCAACACTATCTAGAAGGCCCAGCTTTCTAGGCACTGTACACATACATATTAAGAGTTTTCAAGACAAAGGGTAGAAGAAATATTTTACAGGCAGAGAAGGTTAAGATGCAAAGGAAGTCAGGGGCTGAATGCAGGTCCGCCAATCCCAGTTCAGTTTCTTATGAGGCCATGCCTCATAGGCTAGGGACAGACATTACACACAAACCGGTTAGGTGATCAGAAACTGGTTTAAACCTGTAACAGAACAGACGTTCAGTGCACATAAACCAGTTTCAAAATGTCCAAAACTGGTTTGAGATGCACCTGGTTGAATGTAGTATCAGACTTAACTGTTTGAACTCAAACTGGTTTATGCAATGTCTGTCCCAGACTCCTTCCTGGTTTAAGTTAAACCAGAGTCGCCCAGCATCCCAGCATGATCTCTGGGCTGGGCTCTCTGCTCCACCCCAGTAGGGCTGGCCCCGTCCCTCTGCTCCCCAGCCAGAGCAGGGGCAGGGGTCTGGCCAGGGCCTGGAAGGGGCCAGAGCTCCCTGCAGCACTGCTGCTGCAGTCCACAGCAGCTTTCCCTGCCCCACAGCGTGGCACCCCACTGGGAAGGACCTCTTGCTCCCCGACACGTTGACAGGGGCTGCTGCACCCATGGTTATAACCTATGATTATTCTTCCCTCACTGCTTCAGTGGCTGGGCAGAGGAGTGGCCAGAGCCTGGCCTGCAGGGTCCCTTTGGTGGGGGGCGGGGAGGGGGACTATCCCCCCAACCAGGGCACTGCAGTGGGGTCTACCTGCCCTGGCCAGCACCACTGATATCTGTGCCTGGGCAAGTGGTAGGATAAGCTGCTCTTGCCCCCTCCCTCTGGCATTTGGTGCAGGAGCGGGCTTATCACGCCTCTTGTCCTGGGTACAGAGAGGGTAGTGGTAGCCAGAGTGGACAGACCCTGCTGTGGTGCCTGGGGGCCAAAGGGGGAAATAACCCCACTCCCTGCCCCCTGCCTAAGGGGCCCTATGGGCCAGCATCTGGCTCTGCCCCTTCCCAGCCACTGAAGTGTTGAGGGGGGAGCAACCATGACAAGGGCAGCAGCCCCTGTCACGCTGTCAGGGAGTGCAAGCCCCTTCCTAGCAGGGGGACAGTGCTGCAGGGTGAGGAAAGCTGCTGTGGACCACAGCAGCAGTGGCACTGTGGGGGGGCTCTGGCCCCCCTGCGAGCCCTGGTGCTGCTGCTGTGCACAGTCCACAGCAGCTCTGCCCACCCCGCAGCATGGCACCCCCACTAGGAAAGGGCTTGCACTCCCCAAAAATGTAATAGGGACTGCTTCCCCCACCCCCCAGCCCCACTGCTGTGGCAGCTGGGTGGGAGAATGGCTAGACACCAGCTGGCAGGGATCCTTAGGCAGAGGGGGCAGAAGAGGGCTTATTCCACTGATTGCCCCAGCAGAGAGCGTGCGGTGGTGGTCGGGGTGAGCAGACCCAGCTGCAGTCCCCCAGGGGCAGTGGGGGTAGAGGGGAGAATAACGCCCCCCTCCCTGCTCCCTCTGCCTCAGGGGCCATGCTGGCCAGTGTCTGGCCATGCCCAGCCCTGCTGCTGCAGCAGCGAGAGGGGAATGCCTGGCAGACTTGGCAGGACAGGGAAGGGGGAATTAAAACCCTCTCTGACCAGTTCAGCCAAGGCTACTGCCTGGGCTGGCCATGCCTCCCAGCACAGCTTCCCTGAAGCAGATGGCACGCTCTTGCATCCTCTGGCTCCTGGCCTGAGCAATGTACTTGCATGTGCTGGCATTTCCTCACTCGAGAGGGAATGTCTGCGTAGTTGCAAATTGGTTCAAGTTAGGCAGGTTAGAGTAACCTGGAAAAATTGAATCAATTCAGGTTTTTTGTATGTCTGTCCCAAGCCATACTGCTCATCTGGACTAACACCAGTTGCAGGCTAGCATAAACTTTTTAATTGTGCTGTTTTTCTTCAGAAAGACAGCTTCCAGCTGGTTGCAGCCATTCTATCATTTTAAATTAAGATATTTGATATAAAATAACCTATAGCACCAGGCACACAGCATAAGACTCGGAGGACACGGTTCTGACTCAAGCCCCCCCTCACACAATTCTTCTGATCATCACTGCCTGCAATGCACTGATGGGGCACACCCATTTCCCAACTCT